TCTCTCTCTCTCTCTCTCTCTCTCTCTCTCTCTCTCTCTCTCTCTCTCTCTCTCTCTCTCTCTCTCTCTCTCTCTCTCTCTAAGCCATTCTCGCAATGCAGCTTGATCCTCTCCCAATCCTCTATGCAGAGCAGCTCTTACAACTGCTCGTACCCATGGTTTCTTTTTTTTTCTTTTTTTCTTCTTTTTTTTCCTTGGCTACCAGCCGGGGCCGCCCGGGTCCCGGGTGGCCAGCCCGTGCAAGGACCAGGGAAGGTCCCAGCAAAAAAAAAAMAAAAAAACAATTCCCAAAAAATCCGAAAAAAAAAACTATGTGATGCAGAAAAATAGACTGAACAACTTTTGCCTCAGGGTCACATCGAAATTCTTCACCAAATTTAGAAAAAAAATAAATTCTATTTATTTATTTTTTATGTTTTTGGCCCGGCCGGGCAAGTGACCCCGGGCCACTCTGGAAGCCTAGGTTTTTTTCCTCTTTTTTTTTTTTTTTTTTTGGTTTCATTTTTTAGGGTTTGTTTTGTAAGATGATCGATCAATGGTCATTCATTCATGCTCTCTCACTGACCGATATTCGCAATGCAGCTTGATCCTCTCCAAACCGCCTCCGCAGAGCTCTTACAACGGGTCGTACCCATGCTGCGACTTCACCAGGTCCATTGGACAGAATTACCACATCAAACTCCTCTTCTTCTTGAGTGACCGGTTCCTTGGGGTTGAGGCGAATTGGGGGGCCGCGCTTGTCGTCTAGTGCATTTGCAACGATACCGCTTGAAATGCCTGCCACATTTGACGTGTTACCATTCTTCAGTACATGTGTGTCTCAAGTTTAAAATTTTGATAAGCGCATCTTCAATTTCGAAGTGTTTTTGTTTTTTTTTTCCCATTAAACCAAAAGCAATTGCGGACAACGGGAATCGAACCCATATCCCCCCCTCCCTCCCAAAATCCATCCATTCATCCATCCATGTTGGCCATCCATTCATCCATTCGTCCATTCGCACCCCCCCCTACCCATCCACCTGCCCATCCATCTCTTTATCCATCCACCTTTTTTTTGCGCGTGTTTCTTTTTTTTTAATCCATCCACCTATTCATCATCATCTGGTAGATTTGCGTCCCTCATTGATCTGTTCAGCAGTTGGTCCATTCATCCCTTCAATTCATCAGTCTGTCTGATGCAAGCCCGCGCGCGCACCCACCCGCCTGCCTGCCCATCTGCCCACCCACCCGCTCACCTGCCAACCCACCCACCTGCCCCACTCGTCCCGGCCACCTACCACCCACCCACCCACCTACCTGCTCATCCACTCCGCGCACCCCCTCCTCCCCTTCCCCCCCCCCTCTCCTCAACCCCCCTTGATAATTGCTGGCGCGCTTCCACGTTGCGAGCGGGCAATTGCCAAACTTGCATAGTGGAGATGTTGGGCTGTGGTTATGGGGGTATCCAGATTAGCATGTAGCAAAGGGAGAGGAGAGGTGGTAAAGCAAAGGGAGAGGAGAGGTGGTAGAGCAAAGGGAGACGAGAGGTGGTAGAGCAAAGGGAGACGAGAGGTGGTAGAGCAAAGGGAGAGGAGAGGTGGTAGAGCAAAGGGAGAGGAGAGGTGGTAGAGCAAAGGGAGAGGAGAGGTGGTAGAGCAAAGGGAGACGAGAGGTGGTACAGCAAAGGGAGAGGACAGGTGGTAGAGTAAGAGGGAAGTCTCTCCCTGAAGAATCTGCTGCGGCAGACACGACGCGTCCACAGGCGGCGAGGCATCGGAGACTACTGATCAGAACTTAACGCCGTTCTCCCGGGGGATTTTTTTTTTTTTTTTTTTTTTTTTTTTTAACCGTTTCTCGTTTTTCTCTTGTCATCCTTGCGCGGGGTCCATGCTACTGTTTTTTTACCATTCTCTGTATCGTTCCAATTTCCACGGATGTCCCGAAGGACCGATTTTTTTTCCTTTCAAACTTCACAGAACAAAAACGTTCTTTTTTTTTTTTTTTTTTTTAATACTGTAAGCCCAGTGCCCAAGGCAGGACAAAACAAATCAGCAAGGAGGTTCAGGGACAGCTAAAAACGTTCTTTTATAAACACTGGCGGAGACCAACTGAACTAGCTCAGTTGGTACACCCCTAAACTGAACTGTTAAAGTACAGACACCTGAGTTTTTTTTTGTTTTTTTTTTTTTGGGGGGGGGGGGGATTGAACTGAGTTCGAACTCCTGGAGGATTTTACGCGGGTGCTTAACAGAGTTTTCTTCTCGATCATTGTTTGTTTCAAGAGTTTTTTTGGTGGCATCGCTCGACTACACAACACGCTACATGCATTTGGACGGTTTGGGGACCTGATACGTTTGCAAGAGTGGAGAGACGAGGGGAGGACCATTGCTTCAACGATTTTTCATCGTTAAAGCGTTTGGATCATTGGTTCAGCGTTTCTTCGTTGTTTCAGCAGTTCTTTTTTTGTTTGTTTTTAAAAAAATAATAATCATAAATTTAACCTTCCTCCAGTGCTAGCGGTGATGATTCGGCTTTTTTGTAAAACATTCTTTCAGCATTTCGATCACTGTTTCAGCATTTGGGGCAACTTTCAGTCTAGATACGTGCATTATGGCCGTGTACGTTTATTCAGTGTTTTCAGCGTTTTCCCGTTCTCATCGTTTATAATACCGTGATACTGTGATTTGCTTTTCAATCTCTCATGTCTAACGTCTTCCCCCGAATAGAACGTACGGCCATAATGCAAGTATCTAGACTGAAAGTTGCCCCAAATGCAGCTATAATGACCGTACGTTCTATTCGTACGGCCATAATGCAATTATCTAGACTGAAAGTTGCCCCAAATGCAGCTATAATGACCGTACGTTCTATTCGCGGAAGACGGGGAAAAAAATGCTAAGTATTTGCAAGCGGGGATACTGGAGGTGTGTGGGTGGGGGTTACCTGTTTGTCAGATCGGGATGTTACCCCCCCCTCCTCCCCCCTCTTAGCCACAGCCCAATTTTTTTATTTTTTTTTAATTTATTTATTTTAAAGCCCAATATTTCCACCATGCCTGTATGGAATGACTTGTCACTGTTGGGGGGGTTGGACTGCACGTGTGTTAGTTAGGACAGTTCTCATCATGGACGCGAATATAGATCGGGATCTCGAGGGAGTTTCCGGTGTGAAAGCCGGGTCTGTACATCCGCCTGTCCGTCGATTCGTCTCTCTCACTGCCCATCCATCCCTCACATCCCCCATTGATTTTTGCCCACCTCCGCTCTCTCTTTCCATCCCTTCCTCCATCGATCGGTTGGTTAATCCATCCATCCGCTCGTCTATCAGTCGGTCGGTCTGTCTGTTTGTCAATCTCTCTCTCTCTCTCTCTCTCTCTCTCTCTCTCTCTCTCTCTCTCTCTCTCTCTCTCTCTCTCT